TCATATTACATCTAGTACATTGATTTAACGTATATGCACTTGCTCACTGAGGTATAGTGATTTTAATTTTATTGTTATGCTGCTATACGTAAGCATAGGTGGACTAATGGGAGGGTTCTAGTGAGAACCTCTCCTAAAATGAGAACTCATTAAAATAAAAATGAGAACTTTTAATCTCAACTTTTCATTTATTGCAATTATTGTTTATGATTCACATAGGGTCATATTCATAATAACCCCAAATTTAAATGTTCTTTTTGCCATTAAAGCTAAATAATTACAAAAATGTCACATTGTCATTATTATTCATTGATTATAAAAATGAATGAAGGAGATTGAATTTCTCATTTTAAAATGAGTTCTCATTTTAAGAGGGGTTCTCATAAGAATCCTCCCTGATGGACTAGTAATATGCCCATTTGTTTTAGGGAGTGTTTGCAAACACTACCCAAAAGTACTTCTTAGCTTTTTTGTTAAAATAAGTTAAAATTGGTGTTTGCAAAGATCCACTTCAGCTTAAATTTGAGCACTTTTAATCCAAAAGTTGAAAGCAGCCCTTGGGATGCTTTTTTGTGCTTCTAGGTTTTTCAGTAAATAGTTGAAACTTTAGGGACAATTATTAGATGACAAAAATTTATTAAACCAAAAATGCCCTCTGGCCCCTTCTTTCTGCTCTACACCGAATGTATACAATATACTTCCGTTCTGCTCCCCCTCCACTTCCGGCTACAATTCCAAGCTCTATGCAACTCCACCCGGCGGATGAAAAGAACCTGACAAAATTCTTCAAAGAGGTGAGGTCCATCAAGGCCGCCATGGATGATAATCTCCTTCTCGCTCGACAAATCAAACCCGTCGGATATGATGGTGGTCGGCGGCGAGCAAAGAAATGATGGAGAAGATGATGGCCGACGGTGAACCCAGCACGAAAGACTGGTGTTTGAAGGAAAAGCGGCTGCTAAAATGGTGAAGAAACATGCAGGTCAAGGCGGAGAAGGAGATCGAGAAAGAGGAGTCCGCATGGATGGGCTTCATTTCCATTAATTTTTTTTTTATTTTGATTTAATTTGGTCAAGGGTATTTTTGTACTTTAACTACAAACTACATCAATTATCACTTTTTTATCAAACACTTCAACTTTCACATTCTAATTAAAGTCACTTCTATTTACAAACACTACCTACTTTTACTATCAATCACTTTTTCCATAATCTCTTAAAAAAATCACTTCTAAAAAGTACAAGCAATCGCAAACACTCCCTTACTCCTACGTACGTACTATCTATATTTTTTACGATATGGTCGTTTCTTAATTACTATAGACAAAAGGAAGAGAAAAAAATGAATAGTACTCCCGTCCAAAATTATCACAGTCGATCTACATTATTAGACACAATATTAATAAAAATGAAAATCAACTCCTCTAGTCCTCTAGATATCTCCTATAAAAAATAAAATCAATGTGATGTACTAATAAGTAGGCCAAGACTAAGAAGGTGTGCGTAAGAAGAAAGTCTCATGGGGTCCATCCAAAATAAAAACTCCAAATTTCTTTAAATTTCTATAACGTTTTTATAAATTATCTAATTTTTATAAAAACTATATTAAATTTCATAACATTTTATTATCTTTCATGACATCAATATTATATATAAAAAGTGAAAAAGATTATAAAATTTCAACTGCTGAGATTTTCTGGTCTAAATGTTTTCTTACATAGATTCAAGTACTAAAAATGAACATCTCATAATAAAATATGTTACTTATGGAGTAAATCTTTCGGTTATTTAAAAAATAGGTTTAAAGTAACAACAAATAAATTAAACTTCAAATTTATTTATTCTTACATTTGAATGTTTGAATTTTTACAGTGTGTTACCAAACGGGCTCACATAAAATATGTGTTTTAATCTTTATATTGTTAAACCTAACGAAAGTTTTCTAAAATATATGATTATAAATAATAGGGTATATAATCTTTGTCATCTTTCACTCCCCTTACACATTTTTCATATTATTCTTTCATTATCATGTAACATTAATTTTTCACTATCACTATGATGTTTTCATCTCACCATTGAATTAAATCGTTTCTATGCTTTGTTTCTTTTTCACTAATGCACAAAATTAAACTATTGAGGATATATTTATCATGTACAATGTATGAATATACCATCACAAAGGCCATTCAGTGACCCTATTTTTAGACTTATCAAGTTTATCAACCAATTTTTTGACCTAACACCTAACTTTTGATTTCGTCCGCTGAATTGCGTAAGAATAAAAAAAGGTAAGGTTAGATTTACCTTTCTGGCTGTATTGACTGAAGTTACTGTAAATTAAATCATCATAATCTTCTGATCTAGCACTTCATCCAGTACTTCATAAATTTTAATAGAATCAACTGATTCAGCTAATTTCAGTATTACCAAACGGTCTCACATTTGACTTATTATGATAATATTATGTACTCTCTCTATCTCAAAATAAACTTTAGGATTTCTTTTTATATGTTCTAATATATATTTTCGTTCTTATATAAAACAATTTACCAAGTATGTGATTCATAACTTTTTTGTTTCATATACACAACTTTAAACAACAAAATTTCAACCTTCTAAATGCCTTGCCAAATCAAAATGAATTAATTATAATTTATAAGGCAAAGAGAGCAATATTTTCATTTTTTTAAATAAAAACTCTCACATCGTGCATTTAAGACTGAAAAACTAGTTAGAATATAAAAACGTTTCACTTTTATGATTATATATTCTTTGAAGGGAAAAGGTGCAAATAGACCCATATACTAACCAAAAAAGGTCAAATAAGCTCTTATTTAGGAGGCTCTCTGTCTGGCCGTCGTCATTTGGGGTGGTTCTTGTTGGATTTTTTTGATGAAATTATTTGAGCATCTTATTCGTCAAGTCTAGTTTACTCATACCAAATTTCAGCTAAAACTTCAACCGGGAAGACATTCAAATGAATTCTTGAAAATAACTGTGCAATTAGAAGCGCAGTTATATTCAAAAATTCATTTGAATGCCTTCCCGATTGAAGTTTTAGCTGAAATTTGGTATGAGTAAACTAGATTTGATGAACAAGATGCTCAAAAAATTTCATCAAAAAATTCCAACGGAAACCATCCCAAATGATGACAGCCGGACAGAGTCTCCTAAATAAAGGCTTATTTGACCTTTTTGTTAATACATGGGCCTATTTGTACCTTTTCCCTTTGAATAAATAAAGTTTTCTTCTCCGAAAAAAACTCCTGCTTTTACTTTTATTCAAATCATTTTCATGTTTTACCATATTATAATAAAACGGCCAAGTGACGCCACCACTATGGCTAAATCATACGCCATTGTGACATTATATTTATCCTTTGGTCTAACCATCCAGGAAATATCTTTGATACTATTAGCCGGCATGAAGTTCACTCCAATCCACTGATTAAACTAAACTAGACTAAACAAACCAGATTACACTGATGAAAGTCTGAAATAGATAATAAAATCAGATTTAAATTTATCATATCACACCAACAGTTATAAAATTTAGGGGTGGACAAAAATACCGAACCGGCATGGTACCGGACCGGACTGGTATGGTACCGGACCGACAAACGGGGTTTGAAACGGATCTCAAATTTTTTTGTCCCGAACCGAACCGCACCGGTTCCAAACAATGCCATGACGGGTTCTCATAAAATGAGAACCGGTACCGGACCGAACCGAACCGAAGTATGTTTAAATTATTAAATGTGTACTATTATAGTTATCTAAAATTTATTAATTACATCATTCGTCCCAAATTGATTTGCAAAGTCAACACTTTTTGGTCAATGTTAGTGTTAAGTCCTCCCTAATGATAATTAATAATCCGTACAATTTTTAATAATTAAAATTTACATATTTAGAAACCACATTAAAATATATTTAAAGTTGTAAGGTCCAAATTAGAATATATGAAGTACTTTTTTGGCCAAATTAGAATATAATTAAAAAGTGAAATCCTAATTAAATGAATAAAAAGAAACGGTTTGATTAAAAAAAATGTTGACTTTGCAATTCATTTTGGAACGGAGGTAGTATGAAATATGAAAATTGTTAAATTGTGTGGATTTTTGGAGGATGCCTAAACTTTAATTTTTTTCTTAAACACTTGGAAAAAGTGACATTATTTGGTATTGATATGGCATGGTACCATCCCGTTTGAAAATGGACCGTACCGAACGGGTTTAGGTCTAAGACCGAACCGAACCGTTTCAATAGTAACGGTACGGATACGGGTTCGATCAAATATTGGACCGGACCGGACCGTGCCCACCCCTAATAAAATTGAAATTTAAAACATATATAGATCAGACCATACATTCATCAGCTTAAATCAATCCAAACCAACCAGATTCACTACGTGATAGAAGAAGAAACAATAAGGGAGATAATGAGGGAGTTGCCGCCATAGTATTAGCTCTTTCTTCATTAAAAATTAAAATTATTATAACTTAAGTTAATCATAATAACTTAAGTTATTATGATTAAGTTACTACTATAGTCATTACTCACTAATCTCATTTTAAAACTCAATTATTATATTAATCATAAATACTACCTCCGTCCCTAAAAACATTGTCACGTTTGACTGGCACAAGCATTAATAAAGTAAAAACTGTGTGATTGAGGTTTATGCAGAGGAGAGAAAATTATCTGGAACCACAAATTCTTTACATAAAAGGGAAAGTGTCAAAGTTAATGAGACATCCAAAAAGAAAAGTTGACAAAGTTGTAAGGAACGGAAGGAGTATGTAATTATTTCATGTTAAAATGTAACAATACAATGATTAAAGTAGCTAGTGTTTATGTATGTTATATGGAGTATCTAGAAGTGGAGTTGGAGCTTATCTATTTTTCTATATTGGTGTCTAACCTATCCTATACATCCTCAATAATTACTCTATGATGTTTTTTCCTTTTTCCTTGCTTCCTCTGAATTTCCTGCCACTTGGTTTCCTCTTTCCTTCTCCCGCCGACCAGGTGCATTTATATTTCATCGTTTATCATCCATCAAATACACAAAACAATGATGGACCAGGAATTAGACCACCACGCTCGGCGGAAAAGAGTGGCGGACGAGCTTGTAAAAGGCAAATATTTGGCTACTCAGCTCCAAACCCTACTTCAAAACCCCACCATAGATCATATTGGAACGTCCAACTCATTGGTTCCTAAACTGTCTCTTGAGATCTTTAGGTCCTTCACGGATGCCCTCTTCCATATCAATAACTGCCTCGACACGCCACCACCGCAGCTGCGGGGTCTCTCGAACTCCGGAGATGATCGGAAGTATTCGGAAGACTCCGACTGGTGGCGCGTCGAGAACAAAGCTGCTCAGCAGCCCTCAACTAAATCTCGTAGAGGGTGCTACAAAAGAAGGTACACCTCTGTGAGTTCATGTATTTTACGCATGAAGAGTACAGTGGTACCTAATAAATTCAGAATACTAATTAGCTTGAAAAAAAACCTAAATTGTATATGTACTTGATTAATTATTCATGTTGATGTATTTTGATAGTTTAACTTTTAAATGAAGTAAGCCGATAACACATACACTTTTAATTTTATTGGGCTATACCACTAAAAATTCCGAGCAAAAAACATGTTTTGTCACGAATTGAATAATTAATTCGTGATCTTTAAGATTGACTTGAGATAAAGTTAAATCATTTTTGTGAATGGTTGAAAGAGTGTTGAAGATAAATTAAAAAAGAAGTCTTATATTATGATTTTGGGTTAGTCTAAGATCTCATGACTCCACACCCACATACTCTACAAATACCATTTTTAGTACAAACTCGTAAAATAGAGCGTACTTAATCCGAGCTTAAAATTTTATAAGTGTGCAGCTATTCATCTTTATCGTTGCATATTACTTTGTACTTGTATATATTAACTTATTGAGTATAGTAGTGTTTTTTATTAGGTTATTTTTTGTTTCATTTTCAGAAAAACTTCCGAGGCATGGACGATTTTGTCCAAAACAATGGAAGATGGTTGTTCATGGAGGAAATACGGCCAGAAACACATTCTCAATTCAGAATATCCGAGGTAATTCATCTAATAACCCCGCCCGTACATTCATATACGGAGTATATCAACAAAATATAAGTGTCATACTCCTTATCATTTTTCAATTTAATCATCATTGTGTAATTAATACGAGTAATTACTAGTATAGTAGTATATAATAAGAAATTGATCATATATGAGTGATTATTGTCATTTTTGGCATTATCGGACTTAAGACGTGTCATTACTTTTCAAAATTGACAGTAATTCCTTATGTTTATGGAATAAAAACACGACCCTTCTATTTTGAAATTGCAAAATGTTTCTACTCCTATTTTGATAATTTTGTCATTTTTACGAATATATCCATCACTTATACGAAGTATTACACTATTACGGAGTACAAAAAGGTGGTCTTTAGTTTTCTTTTGCACTGGATGTTTCCTTTTGTTTTTGGATGTTTGCAACGGTCCAAATTGGTAACCGAGTATGATAATTTTCTCTCGATATCTTTGTCCCAATTGTCCGCCGCATGTTTCACGGAGTATGAAAGCATATTGGGCATAGTAAATAATAATTGATCTTACCACTATAACATTATTATAAATTTTTAAAGTCAACTCAAATTGATACTTTATAACCATGAATGTTGCGATTAAAAAAAGTTGCACCCCGTCCAAATCCCAAAAGTAATTGTTGCTTTAACACATTAACCTATAGCTGTATATATTAATTGTTATAGTCGGAAGAAGTACGGTGTATGAAATAATGTGCAAATAATCTTAAACTATAAGGACTTTATTACAAAATAAATCATTAAAATTAGCTCCAAAGGTTAGTTGCGTACATTTTTGGTAAATTGGTAACGAGGTGCATTGTACGTTTATGTTTAACACAACTAGTTATAGATCGATTAATTTTTGTAATAGAAAAGATTAAACATATAAAAGTTTGTAACTTTTTGATAAATTTAAACTTGATTATTGTGATGCAGTTTTGTGTGGTATAAGTATAAGAAAATATATCAATATTCAATTCTAAAACAACCTCTATAAAGTGTTCTTCTGAAATGTGTTTTTGTGAGGACAGAATACAGTTAGAAGCCAAATCCCAATTAAGCATATGTAAAGCAAAGACGGTGATAATTGTTATACATATATATGGTGCGGTTTTGGTGATAACACTCTTTAACGTGAAAAATGAAATCACTCCAAAACGATGCACAATATGATTCACACAAATGCACATTATTTATGATTAAAGTAATACAAAATTCAAAACATTTACGTTTAAACTTTTGCACAGTTAAAATGCATATTTTCCAATTGTATACACATTTTTGTTTTACCTGATGCACGATACACAATTCCAACATTTCAGAACATTCACATTTCTCTTCTTAGATCATGTTTTCATATGATCCATACTTTATCTGATCTCTATGTGTCAGTGTGTGAATATAAAAATTACTTAGCTAATACATTTTTATTAAATCTTAATGGTCAGGTGTTATTTTAGGTGCACCTACAAGCACACCCAAGGGTGCAAAGCAACAAAACAGGTTCAGAGAGTTTCAGAGAATGAGTACCAAACCACATACTTTGGTAACCACAACTGCAAAGAAGATCCACATTATGCTCCCAATCAACTACAACCAGAAGAGGAAGATAATGAACATTCTTCTTCCTACAAATATTATCACAAGGAAGATGAATCTTTAACTGTTTCTGGATCGGATGACTCATCACTACTTCCTGAAGAAATGATCCAATTTAATCCTCAAGGAGCTAATAACCTTGAGTATCATAGTTGCTTCGAAAATCTGGACAATATCCTCCGGTCGGACGAGATGTTACTCCTCAACTTCTTAGACAACTAATCATCGACAGTATGTATAAATGTGTGTGTTTGTTTGTCTATAATCTAGACACACACATTCATTAATTCTCCTACGTACAATAGTAAAAAGTTTAATAATAATGTACAAAAGTAGTTAATTAAGTTCTTACTTTTGCATATTGTCCTGAATTTATTCTTATTCAGGAATAATATTGAGTGATCTCTTTTATAAGCACACTCCCAAACACTTGTTGGGTGTGTCTCCAAAAAAACAAAGAAAATTAACTAATAAAGTTAATTAAAATGACTAAAGAAAAACATAAAAGAGATGCTGAGATGGAGCATAAATTAGGCAAAGCTCGTGCTACGCACGATGTCTTTAAAACGTATTTGTTGCTTCCCACAGTGCTAAGAGCATCGCAAAGATCGTTTCCCATGATACGATGACTACAAGCAATCGTTGAGCGCTCAAAGAATTGGTCCAGCGAACGTGAACAAGTAAGAACACAAAGGAATATTTGCAGAATGCTAGAGGTATTTTTAAGCTCAAACTACGTGAGGAATGTGTGAGTTCGTTTGTGAACGTGTGTTGTTGCAAACCACCAGCTAGCCGGAGGATTTGTTGTGTGTTAATGACGTTTTAATGGAGTTGAACGTTGGACATCAATGGCCTGAACGTTGGGCATTGATTCGTCTAAAACAGCCCATTTAATTGCATGATCGTTTGGCATTAATGTTATAACGTCTTAGCAGCTGCCTGTTATTGGTCGTTCAATTTGGAGCAGCAACCTCCTCCCAACGATGCACACCTGGAGCAAAATAGGAACGTTACGGGAAGAAGCAAAATTTAAATCTTATCTTTAAAAGATAAATTTTCATACGACATTTGTATCCGCAGGTCACAGTTTTTCTTCTCCGTTTTCAGGATTTGATTTACATCCCCTGTACGCGAAGAGAGCCTTTCCATTTAGGAATCTTAACTGCTTTAAAGAGGGTTCACTTTATAAAGGGTTAAAATTCCTTGGATTTTCCGGTGTGGGAATTGAAATATCCACTAGAAACCGGCCATCATTTTCCTAATTTCTCATCCACCCGTTATTCGTTTTGTATATACCACATATCAAATTGAAGACCTTAAAAAGGTCAATTCGAAACCACTTTGACCCGACCCAAATCGGAAGTGGACCCCTCTCAAAATATTGCCCAAAATTGACCATTTAATAAAAAATTTAACACATTTTCCAACAACGCTCACATTAAGGCTATGTTATAAGAGTGCAATGATTAAGCTCAAAATAAATAGAGATATGATCACTCGAGACAATTAAGTAACATGTAGCTTTGTTTGTACGGAGTATAAATGAGTAAAGGGTCAGTTTGGTACTCGAAGTTGCATAAAACGTGTCAAATAAGTCCTTACTGTCTGGCCGTCGCCATTTGAGGCGGATCCCGGTGGAATTTTTTGATAAACTTTTTTAAGCATCTTATTCATTAAGTCTAGTTAACTCATACCAAATTTCAGCTAAAACTCCAATCAGGAAGGCATTCAAATGAATTTTTGAAGAAAACTGTGCTTTTAAGTGCGCAGTTATCTTCAAGAATTCATTTGAATGCTTTCCCAATTGAAGTTTTAGCTGAAATTTGGTATAAGTAAACTAGACTTAATGAATAAGATGCTAAAAAAGTTCATAAAAAAATCCACCGGGAACCGCCCCAAATGGCGACGTCCGGACAGAGCCTCCTATATAAGGACTTATTTGACCCTTTTTATACAAGTTCGAGTACCAAACTCACCATTTACTCGAGTATAAAGTATTGGCTTTGATTGGATCTAAAAGACTAAGGGTGTGTTTGGGAAACGGCTGATAAGCTGAATTTTAGCTTCTTTGACCAAAATCAGCTTCTTTGACTATTGAAACAACTAATAATATTGTTTGGTAATGAAAAAGCTGAAAATGAAAAAGCTGGGGAGGCCAGCGTTTTGGTATAGCTGGTCCCTTTAACCCATTTATGCCCTTCGGTTTTATCCATTTAGCCGGTCCCTTCAACCCTTCAATTTTCTCTTCGCCGGTATATTAGTTTTAATGCACCGGTGTCACTATGCACCCATCGCGGTAATAGAAAATAGAAGCTGAATCCAGAAATTTTTCCGACTGTTGATGCGATGGGTGCATAGTGACACCGGTGCATTAAAACTAATATACCGGCGAAGAGAAAATTGAAGGGTTGAAGGGACCGGCTAAATGGATAAAACCGAAGGGCATAAATGGGTTAAAGGGACCAGCTATACCAAAACGCTGGCCTCCCCAGCTTTTTCATTTTCAGCTTTTTCATTACCAAACAATATTATTAGTTGTTTCAATAGTCAAAGAAGATGATTTTGGTCAAAGAAGCTAAAATTCAGCTTATCAGCCGTTTCCCAAACACACCCAAATAGCTAATAGAAGTGTTTGGTTAATTGGCTTTTTTATTTGGCTTTTTATCCTCAACAGACAACAGCCAAAATTAAAAAGGCTAATAAAACTAGCGTTTAGTATGTTGGCCATTTCAATTCTATCGTGAATTCCATTTTTGCCCGCAAGCAGCAAATGATTCGACTCCCTGCTAAGCGATTATAGAGTATTATTCTCCCTTCACAATAATATTCATTTGGATTTATCTGTCTGAGGAAGCAAACGAATAAGAATGGGACTTGTGGATTTTGAGAAAGTTCAAAACAAGTTGTCAATCAGTTGTGTTTAACACATTTAAAAGGAATGTTAATGGGATTTGTGTTTAAAAATAATGTTGGAACCAATTGTTACTCGTATCACTAAAACTTTATTTTTATTAAATAAAAACAGACTAAGTGGTAGTATTAATAATATTGGCAAAATGTGATACCGAGTATAAAAGTAGTTAACAAATAAAACAAATTAAATCGATGCCCTTAAAAGTAATTTAACAAATTATCAGCCGATTGTGATCAGCCGTTTAACCAAACGGTGTTTTATAAACAGCTAATACTATCAGCTAATCAAAACAGCTAACAGAATCCGTTGTCACCAATCAGCCAACAAAATCGGCCAACAGCCATTAGCCAACGGTCAATTGCCAAACACCCCAGAATTTCCCAATTCATAGACCTTGCTGCCTAAAAACACGGATGCACGCTTTCCTCTCAAAAAATAATACGGAGAAAGCTTTATGTATGCCAATAATTTCAAGGGTATTAAGGGTATTTAATATGGAGGTATTATGACGCATTATGCCTTGACCATCTAATTACTCGTACTTCGTATGGGCAGGGCTTCTTTGGCTTTTAATTTTGAATATATGAGTGTGATACAATTCCCCCAATATAAGTCTATCCAAAAAATTCCTTCAGACATACACCTTAATTAGTCCTTATCCGTATTCCTAGCATCGGCAGCAACCAACTCGTCAAACACAAGGGGCGCAAGCACCTCCAGGCACATACATAATTCCTCCCCTTTTGATTGTATGTCTATTATTTCATATCCAAAATCAATCAAAATTGTATAGTTGCAAGCAAATATATAGGGGTGTGGTACTAAGTTTCTTCTATCTGCTTTTTTTCCATCCAAAAAGATGTTTTCTTATTCAAGAACAAACAAGTAGTTTGTACTACCTTTATTCTTTAACTAGTATGTGCACCCGTGTGCCGCACGGTGTTAGTTTTAATTAAGTTTTTCCAGAAAAGAGTGAAAAGTAAAATTTAAAGAAAATGAAAGGGAAAATACACAAATGGATAAACACTTAAGTCTTATGTCAAATATTTCAGTTTGTGTTACAATTGTATACGTTATACGTTAAATTGAAAATACAAAAATGAATGCATACTCAAATATTATGAGATAATATAATTGTTCAAAAGGTGTTAGTTGACTGTTGTATTGTAGGTTTGAAATGAAATTGATAATCATTTTACGTTTTCGATCATCTGCCACATTGAGTTTGTATGATACCATATTAGATAACTCTAACCCACCATGAAACGGGCTAGCCCTATGGCTTTTGACTGTTTTTGAAAGATGTATCTATAGTGGGGTTGACACATGCATGTCGTGAGTTGTCCAAAATACAAATATATATTTTTGAGTTTCGTTGTCTTCAATATTGATTCTTTACCACCTGTTGAAATTAAGTTCTCGCGGTCCAAAAGTCCAACACAATCCTGTGGACTTTCGTGGGATCTTTTACTGGTTAGTGTGTTTGGTGTATTAATTAAGGCAATATGAAGTGGGTCAAGTTCTGTTACTGATTTACAAAGCCCGAATCTTGACCCCATGTTCTACACTAAACTATTACATAAGAGCTAGAGAGAAGTCTAAAATATAGTATGCAAGTTTGCCAACCCTTTACAATTCAAAAGGTGTACATGATGATATGTCGAGTCCTCAACGGATAATCCCCAACCATAAAATCTCTCACACCTAGTGCACTAAATGCGCTTCCCGTCAAATCTAGTCTTCTCTCCCACATACAACCAGCATTATCCGAGAAAACACCAAGTATCAGAATATCACCGACCGGCGGATCTTGTGCAGCTATTGGGCCCAATACCACAACATTACTAAAAAAAATTCAAATATACTTAATATTTTACAATCTTTTTCGAACTATTATTTCTATAATACTTATTCAAAGAAGTTACTCGAGGATATTTTATGTTATAGTTGAAAATAGTTATTTAATAATTAATTAATTATCATTGTTCACAGATATTTATTCAAAAGATATAATTATATCTTTATTTTTGTAGAATAAGTGCTTTTGCAAGACACCATTTAATAGTTATCAAATTTTAATATATAAAAAATTCTATAATACTTTTAATTAAATTTATCAAGTATTTTTAACTAAAACATCGTACACATGACAATAGAGGAGTGTGTGTGTGTGTATATATATATATATATATATATATATATATATATATATATATATATATATATATATGTAGTATATTAGAATATAATATTGGAATACATAAAAGTGGAGTTTTGAAACTTTTCATTTGTGGTGTAGTCACATGTCATTTTTTTCCTGCAAAGATGTTGCCACATGTCAATAATTTATCCAAAGAGTTCTTCAATGGTTGGTAAGAAAGAATGAGAGATAAAGCGGGTCAAGTTCTATTACGGACATACCGACCTCGAATCCCGACCCCCTCTAATCTTCAACACTGAGCTATTACAGAAGAGTTGGAGAGAAGCCTAAACTA